CCTGTGCAAATCACCTGCCTTGTACTGAGCCGCATATATGTGAACCCAGGCTGAGTGTTGGGGTTAAGTAGAGGGTTAGGGTAAAGCTAGCCATACACATAAATTGTAGTTTTTTTTCTGTTCAGCCTGTAGGCAAAACAGTTACAAATCTAGCAGATGCCTCAATCCATGCTGCACAGCACTGATGGATGACTGTCCCACTGTGGTCATTGTATTTTGACAGTCGGCACTCGCAGCGGCTGTGACTGGATGCAAATATTGTTCGGCCAACAATTTTCCTCCCAGCTGCTTTGATTTTTTTAATCAAGGGATGTCAGGAAGGAAGGTGCCAACAGGGCCACACACTGAGCAAATTTAGTCCAGGTCCTGATGAATTCAGTGTATTGAAAGCTTTACTGCCAGGATTACATGGAAGGTTACTGTGAGGGGAGCCTTAGGCTGCATTCACACTTGGGTGGAGCAGAAACATGGACAGAAATGAGAGTTTCCACCCGCTTTTCTACAAAAGTGAAAAAAAACACGCAAAGCACTTACACTGCCATTGTTTCTTAACGGCAACCCAAATGCAGGCAGCAGGCTCGTGTTTTGCTGTGCGTTTTCTGTGCAAAAATGTTCAAAAATGTGCCCGCAAAATATACTTGGTTGATGTCCAAAATTTGGAACATGAGCTTCTTTTAGCTTGGTTTTGGAGTGGAGAGGGGCCTATCCAAATGAATGGTGCCACTCCAAAAAACACAAAAATGCTCACCACATGTATTGCAATCCAATCTACAAAGATCTACCAAAAACTCTGTAATATAAGGGCCTGCCTGAATGGATATAGATTGATTAGATAAAATAAGTAGGTTCTCATATTAGATAGTTTTGGTAAATCCAAAGTTGACTCTACAAAGATTGTATGGTCAGATTGTAAAGCATATGGTAACCCTTGGGGTTAGTACTCCAGCCTAATGGATTGATAGTTCTGGGGTTATTATCTCCTTCTGGAAGAAATATTGTTCAGAAAGACTGCAGATTTTATATTCCCCAGGTTTATTGTCCTTAGTTTGTATCCAGACAAGTCTCCAACTGGCAAACTCCTTGCAGATATATCCACATGGTATCCATGATTTCAGTTGATATCTATTTTACTAGGTTTTCTTTTTCTACATACCTATTTCCAAGACCAAAGGAAAAGAGTTTAGGAAAACAAAAAGATAAAAAAGGTACAAAATGAAATAATAATTTACATTTTATCGTTGGCTAATGTCATTTCTCATGTACTAACCTTGCTGTTTAATCTTAGGTATGTCTGTTTCTCATAGAATGTGACACAGAACAGATAGCCATGAAGACAGATCCTGTCCCAAACACCTACCTCACTTTCAAACCTAATCTGAGACACTTATGGCTCAAAATATGCCAGTTCCTTCATTAGAGTGCACAAAATACTTATACAAAGAAAACTGGGCAGGAATGAGCATTGTTATATATAGTAAGTCACATACTTCATTATTATAGATTTAACCACTTGAAGATCAGGCCAATTCTGGCACATTTAACCACTTGCTGACCAACTCACGTAGGAGTACGGCAGGAGAGCAACCGGATTACGTATCTGATACCAGGGTGGATAAAAATCAATGATTTTTTTTTAAAAATAAAAAAAATCTGATTTTTTTTATTTAAATAGGATTTTTTTTATTTAAATCTGATTTTTTTTAAATAAAATGCTTTTTGAGGAAAATATATTACCATCCAAATGTTATTCCATCATGAAATAAAGATTAGTTTTTTATTTATGTAGAAAAAGGCTGTATATGTTTAATTTTTTTGGTAAATAAATCCCATGAATCCATTCACAATGTCATGCTCTTCCAGAGGTTTTTGTAAGATTATTGGGCAGTTTCTCTGCCTACAAGATATTATCACAGATGTTTGGTTTACTTTTGCAGTTTTCAAAACTGAATTTGACTCAGCGGAGATCACATGCCTCTTCTTCACAGCAAAAATGTTACAAAAATGTTAAAAAACATGAACAGAGTTAAGAAAAAGACCTTCATCCTAACTTCTACAAACCTCTGAATACAGAATCAACCCCCTCAGTGCTAAGTTTCAAGAAGTTCAGTGAATAGAATAGAAACAATATTTTTCTGATTGTTTGGAGTGGAATAGATCTGCACAAGAAGAAAGTGAAACTAAGTGTGAGGAGGAAGGGGCTGACAGTCTAAGTTTCTTAAAATATATATATTTTGTTTAGCCAAATTAGTTAACAAACATGGATGTTTAAGCAAATACCATATGCTGGAATGTTATTGTTTCAGTTGAATAAATCTATTTAAATTGTTATTATTAAGGTACCGTATTTGCCGGCGTATAAGACGACTTTTCAACCCGTGAAAATCTTTTGAAAAGTCGGGGGTCGTCTTATATGCCGGTATACGGCGAGCCGGTGTCAGGGCGGCACTTTTTCGAGGGGCGTCGCCACCCCCCCTCCTCCTCCAACGGACACCAAGTACAGGGGTGGGCAGAGGGGCTGCTGTACCTTACCTGGCTCCGGTCCCGGTCCAACGACGATCTGGTCCAGGAAGCGCGGCTGCCCCTTCTTTCAGTTCGGCCGCTTGATGGTCCCGCCGCCTGCTCGGCTCCGCCTCCTCACCGGTGATTGGGCGCCAGCACTGGAAAGGCACACAGGCGACCAATCACCGGCGAGGAGGTAAATCAAGCGGCCGAACTAAAAGAAGGAGCAGCCGCTCCTCTCCCCCACTGACACTAACGATGGGGCACTATTCCTCCTCCACACTGACACCAATGATGGGGCACTGTTCCTCCCCCACTGACACCAACAATGGGGCACTGTTCCTCCCCCACTGACACCAACGATGGGGCACTATTCCTCCTCCCCACTGACACCAACGATGGGGCACTATTCCTCCCCCACTGACACCAATGATGGGGCACTTTTCTCCCCACTGATACCAATGATGGGGCACTATTCCTCCCCCACTGACACCAATGATGGGGCACTTTTCTCCCTACTGATACCAATGATGGGGCACTATTCTCCCCACTGACACCAATGATGGGGCACTATTCCTTCCACTGATACCAATGATGGGGCGCTATTCCTCCCACTGACACCAATGATGGGGCACTATTCCTCCCACTGACACCAATGATGGGGCACTATTCCTCCCACTGATACCAATGATGGGGCACTATTCCTCCCACTGACACCAATGATGGGGCACGATTCTTCCCACTGACACCAATGATCGGGCACTATTCCTCCCACTGACACTAATGATGGGACACTATTCCTCACACACTGACACTAATGATGAGGCACCATCATTGGTATCAGTGGGAGGAATAGCGCCCCATCATTGGTATCAGTGGGAGGAATAGTGCCCCATCATTGGAATACCATACTGAAATACCATACCATATTGAAATCAAATCTGATGTTTTTTCATTTTTATTTGGTATGCGTTGGAAGAGGGGTAGTCTTATACGGCGAGTATAGCTCAAACCCTATATTTTAACAGGAAAAGTAGGGGGTCGTCTTATACGCCTAGTCGTCTTATACGCCGGCAAATACGGTAATGATTATTTTATGTCAAATGGTATTTTTGCATACAATTTTGTTTGGTAAAACATACACCTTAATGAATTTGAACGCACAAAAACACAACATAATACCCAATTGTTTTGGTAAAAAATAAAAGATGATGTTATTCTGAGTGAATAAATACCTAACATGTCATGCTTTAAAATTGCTCATGAAATGGCGACAAACTACAGTGCCTAAAAATCTGCATAGGTGACGCTTTAAAAGCCTTTACAGGTTATCAGTTTAGAGTTACACAGGAGGTCTGGTGCTAGCATTATTGGTTTGCTACAATACCTCAGATGTGTGGTGTGAATTTACAGTATATATGCGAACGTAACCTACATATGCATTCGCCTTTGTGGGGGGGGATGGCGATGTGTTAATTTTTTTTTATTATTATTATTTTATTGATTTTTTTTTATTTTTAGACTATCCCAGCATCCAGTGTGATAACAATAGGCAGTGACAGATCCTCTTTACTGAGACGTCTGGGGTATGTTAGACCGGAAATGACTAGATACTCATCATTACTGGATTCGTATGCAGCAGTGCTCGGTAACATGCTCAAAGCTTGGATTTTTTTTTATAACCTAACCCTGCTTTAAACTTCTCCACAACTTTATCCCTGACCTGTCTGGTGTGTACCTTGGCCTTCATGGATGCTGTTTGTTCACTAATGTTCTCTAGCAAACTTCTGAGGGCTTCACAGAACGGCTGTATTTATACTGAGATTAAACTACACACAGGTGTGCTCTATTTACTAATTAGGTGACTTCTGAAGGCAATTGGTTCCACTAGATTTTAGTTAGGGGTATCAAAGTAAAGCGGTCTGAGTACAAAGGCCACACTTTTCAGATATTTATTTGTAAAAAATTTTGCAAACCATTTATCATTTTCCTTCCACTTCACAATTACCGTATTTTTCGCTCCATAAGACACGCCTAGGTTTTAGAAGCAGAAAACAAGAAAAAAAATATTCTGAACCAATGGACAGCAGACACAGTACAGGAGATGACCAGAGACTGCAGACATAGTACAGGAGATGACTAGAGACTGCGGACACAGTACAGGAGATGACCAGAGACTGCGGACACAGTACAGGAGATGACCAGAGACTGCGGACACAGTACAGGAGATGACCAGAGACTGCGGACACAGTACAGGAGATGACCAGAGACTGCGGACAGTACAGGAGATGACCAGAGACTGCAGACAGTACAGGAGATTACCAGAGACTGCGGACACAGTACAGGAGATGACCAGAGACTGTAGACAGTACAGGAGATGACCAGAGACTGCGGACACAGTACAGGAGATGACCAGAGACTGTGGACAGTACAGGAGATGACCAGAGACTGCGGACACAGTACAGGAGATGACCAGAGACTGCGGACACAGTACAGGAGATAACCAGAGACTGCGGACAGTACAGGAGATGACCAGAGACTGTGGATAGTACAGGAGATGACCAGAGACTGCGGACACAGTACAGGAGATGACCAGAGACTGTGGACAGTACAGGAGATGACCAGAGACTGCGGACACAGTACAGGAGATGACCAGAGACTGTGGACAGTACAGGAGATGACCAGAGACTGCGGTCACAGTACAGGAGATGACCAGAGACTGCGGACAGTACAGGAGATGACCAGAGACTGCGGACACAGTACAGGAGATGTGTTGGAGATACAACTATATAGTATTGTGTGTTAATATCACTTGACCAGTAGATGGCACTGTACACTAAGGTTATCAGTTGTGCATATCTGAAAACTTGTTGGTTCTTCTCTATCTCTCTTCAGGAAGTAACATGTCTGCCATCACTGTTATACACTGCTGAAATGTGCTCTGTATGTTTGTGTAACTTAAGTCACACAAGTAAAGTCATAATTCTGCCTCATCACTACCAGTGTCTTCTCTAACACTTAACCAACAGGTTATGGGCCCAGCTCCAGACACTGGAAAAAGGAAAACTACAAGCAAGTAAGTGCTGTATTTAAAATCCTACTAAATCCTGTGTGAGGAAACAAGAGCTGTATCCAATTCACTGAAAGATGGGAAGTGCTTCAGATATGAAGTTTACAATAGCAAAGCTCAACAATACCAACTACCAGCTATGGAAGTTTAAGCTTGAAATGCTGTTATCCAAAGATGACTTGTGGCAGGTACTAGATACACAAAGACCCAATGACAACCCGGAAGAATGGGACAGAAAAAATAGGCAAGCAAAAGCAGTCATAAGCCTGTTAGTGGAGGATGATCAACTCATTCATATAAGAAAAGAAAACACAGCTAAAGGTATGTGGACTGCATTACAAAGACTGCATGAACATGCAAACCTAAACAGTAAACTATATCTGCTACGCAAACTGTATAAGATGAGGCTGGGAAAAGGGCAGTAAATGGGTGAACATGTAAATGCCATGCTAGAAATTGTGGACCAGCTGGGTGCAATAGGTGAAGAAATAAAAGGCAACCATGTTCTGTCAATACTACTATGCAGCCTTCCAGAATCATACAGTGCCCTTATAAATGCTCTAGAAACTAGACCGGAAACTGAACTGACGCTAGAATATGTTAAGGGAAAATTAATTGATGAACACAGCAGAAGAAAGGAAAATTTGCATAGTGAAGAGAACGAGAGACCAGAGGCAGCTCTGAAGGTGCATGAAGGCACAAGACAAAGCAAAGAAACCAGGGTGTGTTTTTGCTGCAAAAAGGCCGGTCACCTGAAAAAGAACTGTTCAATCTGGAAAGCTGAGCAGCGAAAGCAGGAGCTACCCATAAGAGAAAGAGCTAAAGCGGTCATGAAAGAAAATGAAAGTGTATCATGGAGTGGTACTTTTAAAGTGACTCAGAATAGTACCTCACACGGATGGTACATTGATTCAGGGGAAACAAGTCACATGACAAGCGACAAGACATTCTTCACAGAAATTGATTTTAGTGTAAAAGATAAAGTCTTCCTACTAAATGGGAAAAGTATTACAGCGGAAGGTAATGGTCAGGGATTTCTGAACTGCAAAACGCCATCAGGGGGCAAGCAGAGCATCCTTGTAAGGAATGTTCTATATGTTCCAAGCCTAGAAGGAAGCCTCCTATCAGTTAAAACCCTTGCAAGCAATGGACTCACTGTCCAGTTCAGAGGTAATGAATGCACAATTCAAAATGGAAAGCAAATTTTAGCAAGAGGAAGATTAAATGAACATCTGTACAAAATCATCACTGAAAGTGAGAAGGCTAATGCGGCAACTCATAACCCACATGACAAGTGCATCCACCTGTGGCATAGAAGATTGGGGCATCGAAACCCAGAAGCTATAATGGACTTTGCAAAGAGAGGTCTATCAGAAGACATGAAAATATTGCCTTGCCACACACTCAGCAAGTGCACGTGTTGCATCAAAGCAAAGGCCGCCCGAACCCCTCTTCCACAGACCAGTCAGAGTAAAACCATTAAACCCATGGAACTGATACACAGTGATGTGTGCGGACCACAATGAAAACCATCACACCTGGCGGGAAACAGATATTTACTGAGTTTCATCGACGATTATTCCCGGTACACAATAACGTATCTAATGAAGCACAAAAGTGAGACATTAGAAAAACTTCAAGAGTTTGTAGCTATGACAAGCAACAAGTTTCAAAGGAAACCTGGAATAATATGCACTGACAATGGAGGGGAATATATGAATAAAGAGATGGAATCATACCTAAAGAAACAAGGTATTATACACCAAACAACTGTACCATACACTCCTGAGCAAAAACGGTGTAGCTGAAAGAAAGAATCGCACTCTTGTAGAAATGACCAGATGTATGATTACGGACGCTGCCTTACCTAACAAATACTGGGGAGAAGCAATAATGACTGCAACATACCTACAAAACAGGCTCCAATCAAAAAGCTATTGAGAGTACACCATATGAAATGTGGAATGGATCAAAACCTAACGTAGGACACATCAGAGTGTTTGGCTGTAAAGCATATGCCCACATTCCAAGTCAGAAACACTCCAAGTTGGAGAACAAAGCCATAGAAGGCATTCTGGTGGGCTACAGTGAGCAGTGTAAGGGATTTAGAATCCTTTGTCCAAAGACCAACAAGGTCACAGTAAGCTGCAGTGTTTATTTTGATGAAAGTGAAGCACCAGATAATACAATTCTTGAAAAATGTGGAGAGGATTTACACGCTGAATTGGCAAGAGACACTGACCCATGCAAAGCAGGACAAGAGCCAGAACAAGAAGTGGAACTTACAATCAACGAGCCAATAGAACCCACTGAACAACAAGAAATCAGAAGATCCTCTCGAATGACAAAAGGGATACCACCCCGCAGGTTATCATACGCTGCTAAAAACACATCAAACACAGGAGCCAACAACCTGGGAAGACATAGAAACTTTGCCGAGAAGGGAAGCCGATCAGTGGAGAAAAGCAGCTGAAGAAGAAATAAAATCACTTCAAGAAAATAAAACTTGGTCACTAACAGAACTCCCTCCTGGTCGCAAAACCATCGGAAGCAAATGGACTTTTAAAGTGAAATATGATACAGAAGTAAACATCTATAGATACAAAGCAAGATTAGTTGCCAAGGGATACTCCCAGAAATTTGGAGAAGATTATGATGAGACATTTGCTCCAGTTGTGAAACATTTTACCATAAGAACACTCCTTAGTATTGCTGCCGGGAAAGGGAATGCAAGTAAAGCATCTAGATGTCAAAACTGCCTTTTTGTATGGAGACATCAAGGAGGATCTGTACATGGAACAACCACCAGGATTTTGAGAGAAAGAAAAGAACCTTGTAAGCAAACTGCAAAAGAGCATCTATGGGCTCAAGCAAACGGCGAGAGCATGGAATGAAAAAGTGAACGAAATACTCAGAAAAGAAGGGTTCTCAAAAAGTAAAGCAGATCCATGTCTGTATTCAAAGAATCAAGAGAACAAATGGACATACATTCTAATATATGTCGATGACATCTTGACGTGTGTTTTGAACAAGAAGGGGACTATGACCAAATAGTTCACAAACTGAAACAAAATTTTGAAATTAAAGAGTTGGGGAACATTACTCACTACCTAGGAATTCAAATAGAGCGGGAAGAGAATGGAAGCTATCTTCTTAGCCAAAGTCAGAAAATTACAGAAATGTTAGAACAGTTTCACATGCAAGATGCAAAGGAAGCGAAAACACCAATGGAACCAGATTATCCAAAAACAAGGGAACGTTATTGTTTTCTACAAAATAGACTAAATGTCATATAATTATGCACATGCCCTTGAGAAGGGGTGTTGGAGATACAACAGCATGTACTATATAGTATTGTGTGTTAATATCACTTGACCAGTAGATGGCACTGTACACTAAGGTTATCAGTTGTGCATATCTGAAAACTTGTTGGTTCTTCTCTATCTCTCTTCAGGAAGTAACATGTCTGCCATCACTGTTATACACTGCTGAAATGTGCTCTGTATGTTTGTAACTTAAGTCACACAAGTAAAGTCATAATTCTGCCTCATCACTACCAGTGTCTTCTCTAACACATAACCAACAGGTTATGGGCCCAGCTCCAGACACTGGAAAAAGGAAAAACTACAAGCAAGTAAGTGCTGTATTTAAAATCCTACTAAATCCTGTGTGAGGAAACAAGAGCTGTATCCAATTCACTGAAAGATGGGAAGTGCTTCAGATATGAAGTTTACAATAGCAAAGCTCAACAATACCAACTGCCAGCTATGGAAGTTTAAGCTTGAAATGCTGTTATCCAAAGATGACTTGTGGCAGGTACTAGATACACAAAGACCCAATGACAACCCGGAAGAATGGGACAGAAAAAATAGGCAAGCAAAAGCAGTCATAAGCCTGTTAGTGGAGGATGATCAACTCATTCATATAAGAAAAGAAAACACAGCTAAAGGTATGTGGACTGCATTACAAAGACTGCATGAACATGCAAAACCTAAACAGTAAACTATATCTGCTACGCAAACTGTATATAGATGAGGCTGGGAAAAGGGCAGTAAATGGGTGAACATGTAAATGCCATGCTAGAAATTGTGGACCAGCTGGGTGCAATAGGTGAAGAAATAAAAGGCAACCATGTTCTGTCAATACTACTATGCAGCCTTCCAGAATCATACAGTGCCCTTATAAATGCTCTAGAAACTAGATCGGAAACTGAACTGACGCTAGAATATGTTAAGGGAAAATTAATTGATGAACACAGCAGAAGAAAGGAAAATTTGCATAGTGAAGAGAACGAGAGACCAGAGGCAGCTCTGAAGGTGCATGAAGGCACAAGACAAAGCAAAGAAACCAGGGTGTGTTTTTGCTGCAAAAAGGCCGGTCACCTGAAAAAGAACTGTTCAATCTGGAAAGCTGAGCAGCGAAAGCAGGAGCTACCCATAAGAGAAAGAGCTAAAGCGGTCATGAAAGAAAATGAAAGTGTATCATGGAGTGGTACTTTTAAAGTGACTCAGAATAGTACCTCACACGGATGGTACATTGATTCAGGGGAAACAAGTCACATGACAAGCGACAAGACATTCTTCACAGAAATTGATTTTAGTGTAAAAGATAAAGTCTTCCTACTAAATGGGAAAAGTATTACAGCGGAAGTAATGGTCAGGGATTTCTGAACTGCAAAACGCCATCAGGGGGCAAGCAGAGCATCCTTGTAAGGAATGTTCTATATGTTCCAAGCCTAGAAGGAAGCCTCCTATCAGTTAAAACCCTTGCAAGCAATGG